ATAGCGCTACCGCACTAATCCCATTGCACATGCATCATTACCTTCAATAATGTTTGGCAGCTCTTCTTTACAGCTCCCATTTTAATTACCTTTGCTTTAAATATTTAACACACGGCAAACGTCTTCATGCGGCCGAAGCACAAGCTGTGTGGCGCTTGACAGTTCACAATCAGATTTATTACACAGTCTGTGATTCATATTTCCCCCGCTATTGTGTTTCCTTGTATTTTACAGTGTCAGTGTGTGAGTCATAATATTTTTTTCCGCGGTTGTGTGTCCTTGTATTTTACAGTATGAATAGGCCAATGTGTTGCAGATCAAATGTTTTGCTGGCTTTTGCCATTAAGCGCAACACTACAGTGTTTTGATTCTTCCAAGTTACCCTGTAGCCTACTACATCATGCCAATCCCACTCCTTGTTTTTTTCCTTTCTTTTTTAATCAAAACAGTATTCAGAATATGATTTTGAGAGATTATATTAAGGGAGATTTGTAGAAATAGATCTCGCCTGTTGGACAGATTGCTTGGTAGTGGAGATTCTGAGGGATAATCCAAATGATAGTCCGTTGACCTTTAATAAAACAAAAAATATGCATGGTGTCAGGCCTCTGGTATAGATTTTAAAATATATATTTTTTCAGCAACAAGTTTAGCTTTCAGAATTTAAAATGCCATTTTGGCCGCATTGTTGCTAATTTGATCTTCTTGTTGTTAATATTATTATTATTATTATTATTATTATTATTATTATTATTATATTTAAAAACACATAAGAACTGTACCGCATTTTAGATATAGGCTAAAAAGTGACAGTTTGCGCGACACCTTTTCCAGTTCACCCACAAATTGACCAAAACACTTTTGAATAGACCTAATACTGTTATTACATGCCTTAATCTCTCAATCCTTCCTGAAATAATGTCTCTTTGGACGGCTTAATTTACAGGACCCTGACCAGGTCTTCGCTCCAGTATTTTTTTTTTCCGTGTTCGTATGATGTTGTTTTTCTCTTAAAAATACAGCTTTATTTTCCCATTAAACGACCTATTTCACGGAAATAATCTTGATATAAAAGTTGTGATATTGTACATTTATTTTTCTTATTTCAATTAATTTCGTCTAAATATACGGCCACGTATTTGTGTACACTATATTGAAATAGTTGAACCTATAAATAAACGAAAAAAATACTTTTCTCTGTGGCTTTGAAGCCGCCTAGCCATTGCTTTGTAAGTTTAATTGGAAGCTTAAAGATCCCCTGGGATGTCAGTTCGAGCAATTGACTGATCAACATCAAAACACTTGATGCGCGTTTCATGGTATGGATGCTCCCGCGTGACCTCGTTGTTAACACAAGAACTGGATGATGATGAACCTGCTCGCGCGCACTGGAGACAAAGCTGCATTCATAACCAATTCCTGCCTCACTCTGAGCCTGAACAGTAACAAAGTGTTTGATGCCAATTCCGATTAAATAATGACAATGAGAAACTGATGTGCCCTTTCTTCACACCCTTGCTGAGTTCATTCACGTCCGCGTTTGAATTTATGACCTTCTAACAAAGTCCCGGCTTTACGAATATAAGAGAGTCAAGAGATGATAAAGCGGACACGACAGAGCTGTCTGATTAATTAATAAACACAAACAAAAAAACGAGTTCTTATAAAATATTTTATAAATAACAACATGACATTTATACACAACTTTTTTTTTATATAAACATATCACACTCCGCAGGAGCACAGTATCGCACCTCATTTATTTTTGAGAAGTAAATAAAAGTTAAAAGACTGACTAAATTTTACACCAGCTTCCAAAAAAAAGTAAATCACATAACATTAAGCACATAACCACAGAGAATTAAACTTAACACACACAAAAAAACCTTGAGAGGACACATGGTAACAGATAAATAAAGCAGATGGATGATAAAACAATAAATAGATAAATAGAATTACTAAACCTACGATTGCCAATGCAGACATAAAAAATCACAATTTATTCTCATACATACACAAAACATTGCATAAAGTTATTGACACCATTAAATCATATTGTGCAAAATTATGGCTGCCTCCAGTTTTCACAGTTCCAGAAAGGGCACACAAAGTCATTGCGCTACTATTTCAAGTGTCTGCTGCCATGGGCTTAAAGTTCCTCATTGACTCCATTCCATAGTGCATAATGTAGATCATAAAAACTTCCCCATGTTTATTGGCATTTCCATAGTCCTGATTCAAAGGGAGAAAGAAAATGTATGAGCTGATGATATGAAAGTTATGCTAGATGAAAATGACAGGAAATATTGGATACATGCATGCATGATGCAATCATTGTGATGCTGATTTACAGAACACAGATTACATGCATTCCTTATAAACTTACATATACAGGTACTAAATGGAATTTTTTAGTGATGCAGTATCTCTGAATTCGCCAAAGCAATCCAATAATATTCATCAGATTAGGCTTTACAGCACAAATGTTTACTGTTACCAGATATACTTTATGTAATGGCATTACTTCAATGGAGGTAGTGAGGTGACAGATATGATGTAATCCTAGATGACTGGATTTCATTTACAGAAAAAAGTCACCAAACACAGAATTTTGAAAACATTCACATGCATGCTCTTTTTGTACCTCAGATATAAGCAGTTTTAATTAACGCATACTTGTGACAATTGTTCTATTAAGTTACAATAATTAATTTACATAAATTCATCCCCACAAAAGTACACTTGTTAAAGTAAGTGTGTATTCACTCATGCTCACCTGCCTCACCTCTTCATCACAGGTCTGAATGCAGTGGTCTTAGCCTCCTGGATTGTTGGGCATGTGTCACTGAGCTCACTGGATTCTGTCTCTGTCTTTCCTGCACTGGGGAAGCCTGTCATATGCATAAGATCACACAACAGGTAATGGTCATTAAACTGATTAGCATGTTTTGAGATACTTTTTGGTTGTGTTTAATCTTGCAAATCTGTATGTATTATTGTGTATAGTTTAAACATTAACATCACAATTTAGAATTACTACTGTTTAATATCCTTATAAAAACTTATAAGGCTGTAGCTCAGTCCTTTTTGGAGCTGTGTAATGAACTGTAAACACAGAAAGGCTGTACCTTCCATTGAGGAGTACTGGCAGGATTCTGTCAGTCCAGGATATGATGAAGAGTGAAGTTGTAGTGTCTTGAAGCTCCCGCTACTGTATGCCTTGTGTATCCCCTGTAGTCCTTCTTGAAAAAGGCTTTCAGTATTGCTGAGGTTTGTAGGGTCCTGAAGGCCCTTCAGCTCCCCACACTGCACTGCTCCGACTGTGGGTAACCGGACTCCCTGCATCTGACAGTCCACAGGCCCAGTCCGTACATCCCCAACATGCTGTGTGCCTAGTACAACCCCTGCTGCGGCCGTACGTGCCAACGACCAGATCCGGGGCTTCTCCGATGACTCAAAGTGAGAGAGTGCCACAGTGTTTATGGAGGTGGACTGAGGTGAGGGCTGTTGCTGCTGTGGTTTGGAGCCCAGATGATCTAGGTAGTCTGGGTTCAGAGGCCCCAAACTCTTCAGACCACAGGGAAAAGATGGGAAGTTGGAGTGGAGAGGGATGTCAGGGTTACAGTCTCTCTTTGGAGGGGAGGAGGTCGGGAGGTCATCCTGACCTGATTTTTCACAGTCACTGTCCAGCTTGTCACAGTCCTCATCCTCCATATCATCCAGGTCACTGAACTGCAGGTCCTGCTCATCCTTACTGTCTTTGGAGTCTGAGAAAGTGGAATTAGAAGTACTAAGTGAGCGTCCAAATTCATTTATAAAACAAAAACACTGTTTAACTGCAGCGGAGAAAATTTATGAGGTACCTTTGGTAATGTCTGGGTCACTCTTACCGAGGTCTTCCTTCCTGTCATCGCCTGCTTTGTTTTTGGGGGACCAAGTCATCTTGTTTTCTTTTTTTAGTCGTCTTCTAGCATTGGCAAACCAGGTAGACACTTGCGTGAGGGTCATTTTGGTGATAATGGCCAGCATGATCTTTTCACCCTTTGTAGGATAAGGGTTTTTGCGGTGCTCATAAAGCCATGTTTTAAGCGTACTTGTTGTCTCACGTGTGGCGTTCTTTCTCCGTGTTGATCCATTAAAATCAACTGTCCCATACCTGGATCAAATAAATAGTGGAATATCTGGATCATTTATCTGCATTTTAAGTATATTAAAATATGCCATATTAGAAATGGGATAAAAACAAATCTCACCTGTCATACTGGTACTGTCCGAGTGAGTGGTCATATGGATAGTAAGTGGCTGGTTGTGTTATAGTGCTATGAAGACTGCCTGACCCCTCTTTGATTTCATATTGTGGGTTCTAAATATAAACAATAAAAAACAAACAAACAACAAAAAAAACATAGACTTTAGCATCTGATATTTCAGTTATATGTTACTGAGACAGTGCTTGCTGATAAACATTTATTATTCACAGTGTTAACAGTTTTATCTCTTTACTCCATAAACCTATTTTTTTCAATATTTTTATGATAAATCGCACATTTCTGTCTATTTATTGTCCATTAAACCAAGTAGGCCCTGTTTATAGCAAGCAGGCGTCATGCAATGTTGCTTCATTCTGTTCATTTCTTCTGATTATTCAGTTATTTCACCAGAGTGCTAGACAGCTTGATCCTCTTACCAAGCCAAAATAATCAATAACAAGCCGTGACATGAATGAGACAATCGATTGAACGGAGGACCCGCTTTATCTGGTGAAGTGCTGCACGTACCAGGCTGGAGTAGATGGCGGAGGGGTCGGCGCTATACGGAAAGTAGTTGGCGTAGTTCTGCCCGGCTGCGGCCGCTGCTGCTGCGTAAGGGGAGCCGTACATCCCGAGCGCGGCGTTGAGCTCCGTCCGTGTACTCGCCAGCAGCCGGTTCTCATAGGAGGGACAGCAGAAGGAGGCTGCGGTCTGCGATGCGCTCGATCCTTCTGTCACCGACCTGGATATCGAATCGCAGCAAGTCGTACTGGGGGTTGCCGACACGAAAAACTGCATGAAGAAAATTGTGGATAAACATGACTTTTTTATTTGCGTTTCAAAGCAGGCGTTTCCGTAGTTTGAAAAAGAATTAAGGTAAGATGGAGCTGCTCTGTGGTAAAGCAGCTCTTTTTCTTTGGAGACCGATTGCAATTATTTTCATTCATTCGTTTTATTCATAAAGATAATCCTATAGTTTAACTGAATTGAGACTTTGTGTAAATGACTTAAAAATAAAAAGGCAAAGGGTTTGTCTTACTTAATTTTTCAAAAAGTGATTTTGTCAAAGCTGAAAGTAAACTTTCTAAGTTTTGCCTCAGGACAGGAGAAGTTAAGTGAGCGCGGCTTATTTTGACAATTAAACAATCTGTCGACTTTAAATAAAACTTGAGTTTGACTTAAGTCATGTTGTCGAAATTATCTATGTTATCAGTAAATCTGTAATTAGTTTATACACAGAGACGGCAAAGGCTACCGGCAAAGGGAGGAGTCTCGCTCTCACTAAACAATTACACCGTAAAGGTAATTTACACGTTTACAACAACACGTGAGGTCATTTATAATTCAAATAACCCATTACTATAAATATTGACAAACCCACGATAACGTCTAACTTTAGTTTAGGACTTACTTAGTGACAGAACAATCTGCTGCTACCTAGTGTTAGTTCCTGAGATCCAGGGAGTATGACAGAATGTGGAAAAAGAAAACAAAACGCACACAACGATGTACACGCTTAATAGCCATCTACATTAAAAAAATATATAATTTGCATGCTTACCTGAGAAGTTGCATTGTAAGGATATCCAAACTGAGAGAAGGACATAGCTGCTTCTTTTGTTACCATAAGCAATATTCTTCTCCTGCTGATCGATTGAAACCAAATCTACTTCAAATCCACCGTCTTACACACATTTCCACACTCGGCCTTTCGCTCAATAATAGATGACTGCACTTAACTGGGAAGCACTGAGGATGTTTACGCCAGCCCTAGTTTTATATGTATAGATAATCCCCTTAAGGAAATGAGAAATTAGAGTTAAGCTTCATCAAGTACAAAAATATTGTTGTTAAACAGCTGTAGAAAGCTTAAAGGATAACGTAAGACTTGCAAGATATGAACTTGTGGTTGTGCTATTATTTGTGCCTCTATAGTTCTTTAGAATTCATCCATGCACGGGTATCAGTGTGACGTCATTCTAATCCCGGGACGGCGAGGATAGAATGATGTGTTTGCCAATCACGTCATGCTTCGCGCTTTTCTTGAGGTGTGTTTTGCACACCCCTGTCCCCTGTTTTCCCCCTTTCTGTTCTTTTCTAACATTAGTGTATTATTAGACTTAGAGCCCTTAAAAGTATTTCAAACAGCCACTGAATAAATATAAAAAATAATTTTGAAAAAAAAATTATGTAATTCATATATATCACTTTCACAATAATACAAAAATAAATCAGCTTTTTTTAAAACAATATTTTGCATATTAATATAAAAACAGCATTTAATGCCAGATATTGTTTTATTATCCGTGACTATGCCATGTGTCAATATTTAGGTTTATCATGTAAATTATTTTAAGGTTAAGATAATATATTACCGTTTTAGACCGAATTATACTTTTTAAATTAATCTATTTTCTTTAAATATATATGATCTAATAATATTAGTAGCCTATATGTTCCCGATTTTCTTATTATTATACATTTCAGACACTGTCCCGCTGATGCGCAAATGAACTGAAGAGGAATCTACAGGACCCTTGCTCGCATCTGTCTGGCCGATCAGAGGTCCGACCTGATGTTAATTGCGATGATGTTTCCATCTCTCTCTATTAGAGAGAGGGCCAGTCCCGGCAGACGTGAAGAGAACCTCTGGCAGGTCAACAGAAAACTGATTGATGCGTATCTCGGGACCTACGCGACCATTACGAGAAATGCGTAATTGCATCAATTAACAAATGGATATGGCCTTGTTTAACCAGCGAGTTACACCGTGAAAATATGCCTTTGAGGTGAAATTAGACGATCAGAATGGAACTGAGAGAGAGAGAGAGAGAGAGAGAGAGAGAGAGAGAGAGAGAGAGAGAGAGAGAAATTAGCTGAATCTCTCAAGTCTAATTATACGGTAGTGGGAGGCGACGGGAACAGCATTCTAATTGAAGGATGCGTACTTGAAAGGGATGGTAGAAATATCGCTCCCTCACGCGGAATAAGTCTGGATAAAGGGTAACACATGCAGTTTTATTAAATGTTTTAGACAATATAATTAGAAGACCCCATTTACTCTCCCTCTCTCTCTTTCTCTCCCTTGGTTTCTATTGTTTTTTTTTTATTTTAAGCTAATGACATTGCATCATTGTATAGACACCACCTACCCAAGACAAACATGTTTTAATACTATAGATTTAGTTTATACCATTATTTTATTGCCGTTAGAGCCTAAGAAAGTTTTGCTTGTTGATCTGAAATGTCTAGGACACGTGGTCCTACAGTCAAGACACACTTATCTAAAGTACTCATCTAAAGGTTTAACTTCATTGTGAAGTATTGTTATATAATTAAGTCTATATGTGACTTAAAAGAGCTGAATGGCTGTCCTCGCGCATCATCATCGTTCACGAGCAGCAGAGCAGCAGTGCTTGCGCGGTCGCTTCCAAACGCGTGGAAATCCGTGACCATTTGATCGTTTTCACTGATAATATGAGAGGCATAGTTCAGTGACCCTGCTTTGAAAGGACGAGAGTCCTGTCCCAGATGATCTCTTTGCTATTACAGGCTCACTCTTCGAGAGGCGCCAGAGAGCTGCGAGTAAGTGAACGGCGCCGATGGAGCAGGTAAACCGTAATGACGAGAGTGTTCAGGCCCATCAAGAGTCGCGTTCAGTTCAGGTCACCGCCGTCCCTGTATGTTCTGTGGCGAGTGTGTTACAAAGAAAACAGGGAAAATACAGATGTTTTGCTTATGAGCTATTTTATTTATCTGAAGGAAGTCAATTAAACTGGCTATTTGCCCCAAAATAAAACTTTAGTCATTTACTTATAATCATGTCGTTCCAAACCGTTTGACTGTATTTTTGTATCGCGAACAGCTAAAGACTGTTTTGAAAAACTTTTGTCAAAATATATCCCACAGAAGATTTGCTTTAAAAAAAATGAATATTTTGTGTAATTTTTTCCTGTGAGTTATCCCATGCCATTAATTTGCATTTAAGCTACTCTTTGTTCCTGCCATATATTGTCTTACTTCATAAACTCTACAATGAAAAAATAGAAGGATAACACAATGCAATTTTATAGACTATAACACATTTTGACAAAGTGTTGACTAAACAAATTGACCCTATTAAATTGTGACAGTCAGTCTGTCTGTCTATTCGTCCGTTCTTCCGTTTGTCTGTCTGTCTTGACTAGATATTTGAATCTAAAACTCAAATCTAATAAATCTATTAAATCCACTAAGTTGCTTTTCAAGTAAGCTTATAATTATTTTTCCATTATTGCACATTCAAAACCTTAAATATGTAAGTTAGACCCCAAGTGTCAATCAAGGTGGAAAATATTGAGGATTTTCACAATTCAATAATCCGCGCTTATTTATATATAGATCACTTATTGTAGTGACTTTCCAACAAATCTCTCATGTTACAAGCACAATCAGAGATAGAAGAATCAAAAGGAAGGTCAGACTCTCCTATGTGATAGTTTACTGTAGTTTCTCGAAAGCCTTTTGCAAGGGCACACATGATAGCCCAAGTGCATACGGGCAGCCTCATCCATAATGCATGTGGAGCAGCTCCTGATGATCAGTACTTGGGGTGGAGGGGCTCGTAAGTTAAATCAACCTTAATTGAAGAGGTAGAACACATTGACCAATCCTTACGCCTATCACTTTTCATCCTATTTTTGATCTTAAAAGCAGTTTTTTTTAGTGTGATACACTTTAAAAAAATGCTGGGTTATTTCCACTCTAGGTTTGTGCATATTTTCCACAAATATGAGTATGGGTTGTTGTAAATGGAGCTTTTTCATAATTTCTTCAAAAGTTTGTCTGTAAATATTTTATCCAAATCAAAATTACCCAGAAATAAACCAAATAATTGAAACAACCCAGAAATGTTCACAGTGTATTCGTCCTAAACATTATGTTGTCCACATTAGGTTTTGTGTTTTCCAAATGTTGAATTATAGCATTCTCTGTGACGAGGGAATTTGACTGGTCTCTACGTTTACCGTGTGTGTGATTGTGTGTGTGTGTCTGGGCCCCTGTTAGCCTTGCATAGGGATTATGGAGGCTCAAAGCCTCACAGCAGAAAGGTTAAACCAACAGCCAGCTTCACCTTCTCATTTAATACATTTCTCAGGCTGCTTTAATGAATTTCACAAAGCTTTTCTGCTTTTTCATAAGACAGATCAGAGCTTTTTTTATGAAATAATAATAAGGCAGTGCTGCGAGAGGGGCAGAGTGAAGGGGAGGGGACACTCAGGATCGAAGCAGAGTGATATCTCATTAAACAAGTCTGATATTCCTGATATATTCAGATGAATCCCAGACATACGAGATCCTGAATTATTGCTCACTGTCTCTCCTCGCTTCATTCCTGGCCAGGTATTAACACTGCTAAATTATCCAAAAATTGAAAAGAAAGTAATAAATATTCTAATGAGAAGCCCCTCAAATGATAACGGAGGTGGCCATAACAGTGCCCAGCCAAATCCAAAACAAACTTCATCTAAGCAGATAGATAAATTGACCAGAGTGAGGGAGACTTTTCATTCTTCAATTATCTTTGCCTTCTAGAAAGATAATAAAGTTATGTTCAAGCTATGTTAATAAAAGCTGTGCATTTCATGCAATAAAGTAGGAATATCTCAGTTGTCTGTTTCTTAATGTCAACTTTGAAATCACATAATTGCTTCATTTTCTGTTAATGATCTAAATGAATATGAAACATATTCTGTTTGCTGATTAGTCACAATGTTTTAATAGGAACAGGCATATTTCCTAACCACCTATTTTCAAAGGTTTATTACATTATTTACAGTATCATATATTTTAAATGAATATCTACTAAATATAAAAATAATTACTATTTAATAATAAAAATGTCTTTATTATGTTTTTCTCAACTTTTGACCATGGCAATGTGACATTTATACCCATATATTCCCCTATAGCATACATCATTATTTATTATTTGAGCGTTATTGTAGTAAACAAATTCAGACATTCTTTTCTTATTCAGAAGTTATTTCTAACATGTCTAACTTTATTTTTTTTCTGTTGAATATAAAAAAAGATATTCTAAAGACTTATGGTAACCATAAAATCATACCACTATAATATAAAAATACTGTAAAATCAATATCTGCTAGCATTTTATTTTGATGCTCTCCAACAGACTATATTGTCAACAGACTATAGACAACTGACTATAAACAACTTTGCAAAACTTGTTAATCACTTTGTCAACAATTTGTAGTACCCCTAGCATACTAGTCTACTAATACTCCAAAAGTACTGTTTAGACTGCAGTGTAGGTATAAAAGTCTACAGAATGTCCCAAATGGGACATGTAACAATGTACTATGTTGATGCAATATAGCTTATAATATACTTTTAGGTTTGTTCTTTTCTGTTTTGTTGCGTTTGTGTGAACAGGACAGTTCAGCTGGCAGCATCTCCACATACCCCAAAGTAATTTAATGAGTGTTTTTGTGCTGTCAGGGATTTGTTACTTGTTACACTGAGATTTAACTGGCAGCTCTTTGGATGACTCACTCAGTGTCTCTGTGTTTCTCAAAAAGCCCTCTTGTGAATTCCTTCAGTCTGCTGCATATGTATATGGATATGCATATGTAGTATGCATATGTAGTTTTCATATACTGTAGATTAAAAATATTATCGTAAAAAAACTGTATTAGTCCTTAGTGTTTCGGTTTGTGTAAAACACACTTTTGATTTATTCTGCAAACTGATTGGTATTATTCCAAATTTAAATTTGAATTGTTTTAATTTCCTGCATTATTTGCATATATTACCGAAAATTGCTAAATCTTAGACATGTTGTAATAATTATTTTAGACAACATAATACCAGTGTTCATCAGATAAGTTAAGAAATATATATTTGATGCAGTATCTCTGATTTTCAATTATAGCAAATAATAATAATATTTTTTTTTTCTGAGCAGCTGATAATAATAAGATATCTTTTGTAACACTGAGGTTTAATAAGAGTATTAGTAATAAAAGTAATTATTTCTTTTTTATATTCACACTGACTTCAAACATTTACACTGCACATTATTATTCAAAACTTTGACATCAGTTTGAACCCATTCAAAAAAGTTTTAATATACAAAGAGCATAGATGATGACAGATTTTTTTTAAATGGTGGATACATGCACATATGTAATGCTTGAAGTATAGGAACTAGTAAAATATGTTCAGAACACACACATACCAAATCCATTCATCTTGCCAGTAAACTGTGGGGACAAATAAGTCCAGTATTACATTAGTGTTTCAGTAATTATAACCCTTCATCCTGATCTGTGTAGACGACAACATCTGCAACATCTTGTGTGGTTCTGAAACCAATGCAGCTCTGCAGTCGTCCACTCCTCGTGACCCCAGCCCCCCCCCCCCCCCCACCCCCCTCCCCATCTCCAAAGCTTGTGGCCCCCTGGAAAATGTCCCATCTGCAAATGCTTGTGGGTAGTTAACCAAACCCTGGTGCCAAGTCATACAAATAGCCCTGCTTTTGGTGTTTGTTTGCATAAACACTTCTGAGATGTTTTGTAGCTGTTGTTGATACTGTTTTTACAATTGGTTGGAGGCTGTAGCACAATATAGGGATGCATCACTCTTAGTTTTCTATGGTAGATTTAGAATTTTTATGGCTTTTTTATGAGCAAATTGGGCAATTCTGATTTCTGATTTAAATACATACAGTTGAAGTCAGAATTATTAGCAGCCCTGTTTATTTTTTCCCCAATTTCTGTTTAACAGAGTAAAGATTTTTCATTTCTAAACATAATAGTTTTAATAACTCATTTCTAATAACTGATTTATTTTATCTTTGCCAAGATTACAGTAAATAATATTTTACTGGATATTTTTCAAGACACTTCTATACAGATTAAAGTGACATTCAAAGGCCTAACTAGGCTAAATAGGTTAAGGGCTAGGTTAGGGTAATTAGGCAAGTTATTGTATAATGATGGTTTGTTCTGAAGACTATCGGGAAAAAAAGTAGCTTAAAAGGGGCTAATAATTTTGACCTTAAAATGGATTTTAAAAAATGTAAAACTGCTTTTATTCTAGCCGAAATAAAACAAATAAGACTTTCTCCAGAAGAAAAAATATTATCAGATATGTGAAAATTTTCCTGCATCATTTGGGAAATATTTAAAAGAAAAAAAATTCAAAAGGCGACTAAAAATTCTCACTTTAATTGTATATACATTGCCGAATAAATATGGTTTTCATTGATGTATGGTTTGTTTTGAATGAGAACGATATTTGGCTAAGATAAAATACTGTATTTGAAAATCTGTAATCTGAGGGTTAAAAAAGAAGAAATATTAAGAAAAATCCCCCTTGAAGTTGCTAAATTAAGTTTGTAGCAATAAGAACTTTCATTTAAGGTTTTGAAATATTTATGATAATAATAATAATAATAATAATAATAATAATAATAATAATAATAGCTTTGTGCTCTAGGGTCACAGAAAAATAAAAACATAAAGACTGGACTTAAGCTTTGTGAAATTACATGTACAAAATAAACACAGTAGATGGGCTGAATAAAAATTTAAATTCAATATGATATGCATCAAACAGAGATAATGTAAAAAATAAACACCATCTCAACCAAATTTTTAATTGTAAAGGGCCAAAACCAAACTTGATTAAGGGCTGTGGGCCAAATACATGCCTAACCTTGTTACAATAAATTTGCCAAGAGAAATTCCTAAAAATGTTGCTTTAAATCATGTTAAATAATGCAGTATCACATTTAGCATTTTAGACTTAAATCTTTTAGACTTAGCTTATTACAGTAAAAACGTAAACAATTCCATTATAACACTATAGAGTTTAATGCTGAAATGCTTCTGCCTTTCACCTGATTTGCTCACAGATGACTTGTGCATGTGTCCTCTTGTCTGTCAAGTGACAGTATTTCCCTTTTAAAAGTCTGATTCATGTACAACATTTAATTGAATCATTTAATTTCAGATGGCTTTTTTTGAAGCTCAACAATACAACAAAGAAACAATTTGAAATGACAATAACTGTCAATATCTTTTCAGATGGGATGGCGGGTCAAAACAAAGGTTTACCATGGGCCAACTTTGTCCTGCAGGCCCTATTTTGGGCATCTCTGATATAAACTTTCCTGACAACACTTGGATCCCCTTATAGATACTTTAATAAAACCTCCCACCCCCA